GGAAGTGGGCAAATATTGTGGTTGAAGGGACTATTTCATGCAAAAGCATGTTTCAAGTAGACCTGTAAACCGGTCATGTCATCGGCAGCGATGGCGCAGAAACTATTTTCGCCTTGGTAGTACTTGCCACACAACGTGATGCCGCTGGTTTAAATCATTGATAGAATAACCTGAAAAAAGTTTCTTGGTACATACTCCCAACAAACCCCCCCGCAGACTGTGAAATGTCAGGAGCGACATCACAATACCGAACAGCAGCTTTTTATCCCCTTGGAACTCAAAAATAAGAACGGCTATTTCGTAGATAGCCTCCACGGTTCCATGAATACCGAAAAAACCAAAAGAGCTAGCTGCCAGGACACCCAATTTTGTCCTGCCGCTCATCGGAGAAGTGATAATGATCTCCGCCCCCAGAATCAAAGCCTGGAGAGGTAATTTCACCAGCACACTTAACGGAAACCTGACTAATTGAGTGTTGTTTTCAGCACAGTTCTAAACCATCCCTTACCCCGCCGAATTGGAGAACAATTCCACAACGAGTGTTACAAACATTTTCGAAGGTAGAAATATGAATAATTTTGCTGGGAGAAAATGTTCTAATTATAATTTGTCTTGTATTTGTCGGGATGGGTGAATCTGACAGACACCTAGATGCATTCCAGTCAAAAAAAGGCCTTTATATGAGGTAACCAAACCGATTTAATTTAGTCATAGCTGGAAGCTAATCGCCATGCTTATACAGGACCATTTCTTTCGTCGTCACGCATTTCTCTCGGTGAACGGACTACAAATCTGGAGTGACAGAGTCAAAGTAAGCATACATGGAAGTATTCGCCATTAAGCAGTGGTAGTGGTTAAGTAGCATTGTCATCACGGGCACCATCCTTCCCGCAGCCAGAGTAATAATCCACAGCAGTAGCGTCGAAATACACTGCTCGGGCAGAAACACCATGAAGCTCAAGTAGTGGTAAAGAAACGGTGGACGGAAAACGGCGAAAGTAAACAGTAAGTTCACTATGCTTTCAAGTACTGTGGTCGTAAGAACACGAAGGTTCGAAGCAGCAGCATCAACACAATGCGAGGTACCTGCTAAACTGGTGTAGTGTGTAACCAGTATCCTGATTAACTGGTTCAGAAGTTATTAGTTAATAAGTTTTTGAGGTTAAGGCCCAGTTAGGTCCAGGGGGATTGCCACCGTTTAAAGGGTGATACGGTCAAAATTTGGTCAATATCAACTTCACGTATTTCTTTCAATTTTGCATTTAAAAAACCCGAACACCCCTCATTTTGAAGGTGTGTGTGTGTAGAATGTTGCTCCTATTTTGATTTTGGAATTCACTCTTCAGTTGTCAAAATGCCGTCCAAGCAAGAAGAGCAGCGTATCAAAATTTTGCTCGCGCATCGCTAAAATCCGAGCTACTCGCACGCAAAGTTGGCAAAATCGCTAAAAGTTGCCAAATCAACCGTTACAAATGTAATTAAAGTGTTTGGGGAACGTTTGTCGACAGCCAGGAAGTCTGGATCGGGGGGAAATCGAAAACCGGAAGCCGCTGAGACGACAAAGAGAGTTGCCGTTAGTTTCAAGCGAAACGCTAACCTCTCTCTCCGAGATGCCGCAAATAAGCTGGGTGTATCGTCTACAACCGTGCATCGAGCCAAAAAACGAGCCGGACTATCGACTTACAAGAAGGTAGTGACTGCAAATCGCGATGATAAACAAAATACGACGGCCAAAGCGCGATCCCGGAGGCTGTACACGACGATGCTGACGAAGTTTGACTGCGTGGTAATGGACGACGAAACCCACGTCAAAGCCGACTACAAGCAGCTTCCGGGACAGGAGTTTTATACGGCAAAAGGAAGGGGAAAGGTAGCAGATGTTTTCAAGCACATGAAACTGTCAAAGTTCGCAAAGAAATATCTGGTTTGGCAAGCCATCTGTACCTGTGGCTTGAAAAGCAGCATTTTCATAGCTTCCGGGACTGTCAACCAAGAAATTTACGTGAAAGAGTGTTTGAATAAACGTCTGATGCCTTTCCTGAAGAAACACGGTTGTTCCGTACTGTTTTGGCCGGATTTGGCATCTTGTCATTACGGTAAAAAGGCCATGGAGTGGTACGCCGCCAACAACGTGCAGGTGGTTCCCAAGGACAAGAACCCTCCCAACACGCCAGAGCTCCGCCCAATTGAGAAATACTGGGCTATTGTCAAGCGGAACCTAAAGAAGACCAAAAAAACTGCTAAGGGCGAGCAGCAGTTCAAGGCAAACTGGCTTTCTGCGGCGAAGAAGGTGGACAAGGTGGCTGTACAAAATCTGATGGCAGGGGTCAAGCGTAAGGCCCGGCAATTTGGATTTGGAAAAGCGGAAGCCTAACTGAATATTTTTCCTGAATTTTATACTAATTGAACTTGAAAAAGAAATTTAATTTGATTTTTTAATAAACGATTTCACCGATTTACACGCGTTTTCCCTTGACCAAATTTTGACCGTATCACCCTTTATTGGAACCCTAACCGATGAGTTTAGTTTCCGTCGGCGGGCACTCTCTAAAACTCATCGAGCCGGTACCTAATACACGGAGCCCTAGGAGTCTTCATTCCTTGAAGGACGACACCCAACAAACCATCCGCGACTCTATGTAGGATGAGCTAGGAAGAAGCTAAGTCACACACAATAACCGTGAGCCCAGTACCCACGATTTAGACTACGAAACATCCATCATCTTAGGTATAAGTTTGATCATTTATTCCCTCCTCCTCGTATGTACTAGCGAAGCTCTTACCCTCATTTATGTATTTACCTGAATAAACGTAACCCTAGCAGCACACTTGTCGCAAACGGCAGCTCCTATGTGATTTATTCCGGTTACAATCAAGTTGCCTCAACCTTTAGAGACGGAAGTGTATTGCTTGGGAAATTATGCTTAGTTGGACTAATACACATTACAACCTGATTGTAAAACTCAATTTTGTGACTTGTTTTGGACACGGTATCTCTGCTCGAAACATAATTAACAGTCAGAGTACTAAGGATGCAAAACGCGTGACGATGCTGTGAACAAGCATGGTTCTCAATAACAGGACAGTCATGCAGTGTTGCAGCATCGTCATGCATTTTGCTCCCTTGGTCTTCTGACTGATTAAATAAATAGTACCGTAAGACGGGGTGACATTGAAACTAGGAAGTCACATTGGGCCAAAATTGAAAAATGTTTATTGATGCAAATATCTTGAATATACAGAAAATGATGTCTAGTATATGTTTCTTGAGCTTCTGGGGTAAAGTGTAGATAACATTAACTAGTTGTTTTATTTAATCTGTGCTGTAAAGTAAAGTGTCATCAATATTAGTAGATTTTTTTAAATGTCCACAGGCAAACAAATGTTTGAATACACTTTTATGAAAATAGACGAAGGCTACAAGCGATCTTTAACCATACATACGAAGTACATTGTGATCATAACCAAGTGTACTCCTAATAGCTACGATAAATTTACATATTTTAAGATATGTTAAGATATTTTAATTAAATTTATGTGTTGGCCAACAATTGAACAGCTAATATAAAAAAATTCACAATTTTACTACATTTCACGTAGTTGCAGAGCAAAATCAAGGCCTACTTTAATCAAATTTACGCAGCAATACATTTTACGGATGTTCCGGATCTTTCGGCGAACCACCTGGAGCCAGTGAACAGCTAATATATAAAAAAAAAATCTTAATTTGACTACATTATATACAGTTGCAATGAAAAATCAAGGCATACTTTGATGAAATTTACTTAGCAACCAATTTTACGGATGTTCCAGATCTTTCGGTGGGTCATCTGGTGACCATTTGGAGTCAATGACCAGCTAATATTTCAGAAATCACCATTTTACTGTATTCCATATAATTGCGGAGGAAAATCAAGGCCTACTTTGATCAAATTTACACAGCAATCAATTTTACGGATGTTCCGTATCTACCAGCGGACCATCTGGTGATAACTCGGAGCCATTGAACAGCTAACATATCAAAAATCACCATTTTACAACATTTCTCATGGTTGCAGAGAAAAATCAAGGCCTACTTTGATCGAATTTATGTAGCACTAAATTTTACGGATGTTTCGGATCTTCCGGCGGATCATCTGTTGACCACTTGGAGCCATTGAAACGCTTATATATCTAAAATCATTAATTTACTACATTTCATATAGTTGCAGAGAATAATCAAGGCCTACTTTGTTCAAAAATACATAATAATCCAGATTAAGGTTGATCCAGGTCATCGGAAGGCCTTTCGGTGCACGCTCAGTATTTAGAACCAGGTTATGGGTTGATTTTGTTAAAATATTAATCAGCACTACCCATAGATGCCTGTTGCTGTGGATTTTCAGCACCACCTTGTTCTAGACGACTGGTACCTTTTCTCCCCCCGATGGTCTCTCGGAAACCCGGAATAAAACCGGAACCACTTGGCCAATCTGTTCCAATTTTTAGTAGACCATAATTTCGAACATTTTTCTACTCACTGTGAAAATTTCGACCAATTTCATGGTTAAACAAAAAAGTTATACCTATGCTATTCGTATACCTGTTCGTAAAAATAAAAACTGAACAAGCGCGTTAGGCCCTCCCCAGAAGTAAAGCAGGTGGTGTTCGTTTGAAACGCTAATAACTTTTCGGTGGTAACTCGGATTCACATCCGGTCTTCAGTCAAGATGTTCCCAATACTCCAAAGGTGCTACATTTTGTACACGAAGAAAATCGACTCACTACAGCGCGACCTAGAGCCGCGAATGTGAAAGTGGCTCGCTCGCCCATACATTTTGTCGATTTTCCCCATACAAACTTCAAGCCGTTTGAGCGAGGTGTTCCCGTGAACCAAATGACTTTAAATTTTGGCAGGATGATTCTGACCCCCCAAACTACCATTCCAGAGGGTAGCGTTTGAAATTCCCGACTTTGACTTTTTTCCATATAACGCTGAAACACTCTAATATGCACGCATATCATCGCATCATACTGGTATTGTCATTGAACCAACTGTACAGGAACTTGAAGGCATAGGCCGTGATGAAGTTGGCCGTTCGCTGGGAGAAGCTCATCTTCTCCGAGTAGTCCATGAACAGCGACGGGATGTAGGATGGGTTGATCGGCTTACCGACCCGATCGTAATGCCACGGCATCAACGGGCAACTGCTCAACCCGATGAAGGGAGCATTCAGCATATGGACCACACCGAGAAAACAATCGTTGTTGAACTGTTCCACCAGTACCAGATCGTATTGATCTCTGGATTCCAGCACCTGCTTGATGGCGGCCGAGTTCAGTGCATTATCACAGGCTTGCTTGCCCCAGTCGTACAGCATGAAGAATTCCATTAAGTGCGAAAAGGCCGGCCGGTACTCGAACAGCTCAATGCTTACCGAGATAATCGGCTAGAATGATGAGAACAAAAATTTACTAGTAATGTATGTAAGGTAGCCACCATCCCTTCAAGACTTGTCTTGTATGCAGCTCCACTTAATAGCAAGATCAATTTGAGCTACCGATCTGAATTCACTATATCGCTGTATGAAGGGCCAAAAACGGAGGGGTGGACCCGTAAGCAGAGACACTTACACGAAATCCACGGGAATTTAAGAATCTCCTTCCAACGATACGCTCCAACAAATCGAATAACACAATTCGCAATACTTATTAAGCTTCCTACTGGATGGTTTGTTAAGAAGGGCGCGTCAATCGCCCTGAAACTGTTGGAGTAGAATTCACACCACCACAATCGAATCGGTAGGATAAAGAAAATGATAGTGTTTATTCCCTCCTAGACTCCGGCTGTCAATCATACCATCGTCCAGTTTCAGTTTGAATGATACCCTGATGCTCCCTCCCAACCCAGTATTTATTTATATAATGAAAATATATGCAATGGAGAAATGAAATATATCAGAACATTAAAATATGACATAATGAAATACATTTATATGGATAATATAGTTGCTACTGCAATGAAGAAGTATTTTACATATAATAAGATGCAGCTCTACACCTCCTCAGCTCACAACAGGTGGATACAACACTGAAATGTATGGGATATATTAAGCAATTAAATATATTTTGCTCGAATGATACTAACAATAATGCTAAAAATTGTGATGAATAACTAACATGACGAGAAATAACCTGCTTAATAATTATAAACATATAATATTATTTAATGTTTCTGCTTCATCAGTTTCATATTAATTTCAATGACTTGCTTGGGTAAACTGAAATATTAAGCTAAACGTAATAGTATATCATGCAATGTATAATTTATATAATATATGTAGTGAAATGCAAAATGTATGTATGTATGCAGGTATTTCCTTAAAACACAGAAAATATAACAAAATACCAGTGGCGTCCCGTAACCTCACTATTTACTTTGGTGCACAGATTTAATGCCATATTCATATTCGAATCGGTTGAAAATACACTCAATCTTCTAGTTTACTCGATATCTATCTATTGCAAGCAATATATTGATTATTATTTATGTTTTGAGAGTTGGTGCACAGGTAGATCGAGGTTAAGGAAACGCCACTGGAAAATACAGAAAACCTCGATTTTAGTCACTCAAATTCATTACACTCAAGCTATATATGAATATTTTAATTGCATGGTATGATTGAACTTAACTTTGCCTATTTAATGAATCCACAATTTAAGTAAAGAATCAATTTGCTAAATAATCGAGGTTTTTTTTAGCATACAAGAGTTATAAAAATAAGCATCAATGATTAATTCTTGAAATAGCAAAACTCTGCAAAGGTAAAACAATTTAATAACATATGGTGATATTCAATTTATTCTCTGGGTAATCCAAATTCTGAAAACCATAGATATCATATAATATTATTATAAAATAAATGTAAATAACAATGATTTGATATTTGATACACCTTCTGTAAATGAAAATTATAGTTACAATGATATAATGAGATTTTAAATATGTGAAATAAAAATAATTTACTAGTCATGCAATATATAATGCAATATACCGTAAAACAATGAATGTTTTTTCAAATTTTATATTCTTAAAACAAGTACTGAGGATCCAAGAGTTAATTCGTTAGTAATATGTTGAACGAAAATTAAAGCATTTGCACTATTTTTTTTAGTTTTGTGACCTAACTTCTGCATTTTGATTTGGGGTTACTTTGATAATGCTTGATGAATGTAGAAAAAAAAATGAGTGAAACTCAAACAATTTAGTTCTTTAAATATGAAACTTTGAATGAGTATATAATCAGAAAACTTTAAAAGCAATAATAATTCAACAATGAATTTGTGATGGCTGCATCGGAAAAACATTTCATAAGTGATGGTTTGCGTGCTTTTTCAAAAGCGCGAAAAACACGAAAATGGTTTTTTTATATTTTTGTAAAATATGTAACACATACTATATAAAACTATATACAATATCAACGGAAATACCCTAAGCTACAATATGGAATCAATGTTTCTTATTTGGAAAACGCACAGCGAGTAAATTTATTCTTTATATTATACTATCAAAGTTAACCACATTATCAAAGATACCTCGTTTTACGGTACTACAAAATACAAATAAGCTCGATTTTAGTTAACCTCCGTACATTTAACTGATTTATTAGATATTTTATCGGAATTGAAACAAAATCTTTATTATGCACCATGGAATCTTTAAACGCAATATGGAATGCTTTTATAAATATTGGTTAACTTTAGTAATGAATCAATAGTCAGAAAATCGAGGTTATTTGGACAGTTAACAGTTTTCATGCACTTGTTATCATGCATTACAATGATGTGAACGAAGGCTGAAAAAGTGTAATGGTATTATTCTAAAAAAATTCCATCATCGAAGAGCTGAGAATCTACTTAAAGATTTAAATCAATAAATCCAGCCTAAACGGAGGACTCACGAACACAATAAGCTCCCCCATCACTCATATTCCGAATCTGATTATTAAATGAGTATTTACAAGTATACAATTAAATATATCAAAAGTAATGGAATTTTCTCTCCGGGAATGGATAAATAAAATGGTTAATTGCTCTGTCATATAAACGTTGAACATACATTAGAGAAAATCAATCGTTGCTTCTTCCAGTTGTGTTTTGATCCTGTTTTAAATATTTGTCATTGAATATATAATAATAATATAATAGGACCTGGGATCCTGCCGATGATCTTTTAAACCTGGAGACAAAAAAGCTACGAAAAAGCGCTTATGCCTTCATTAAATTCTACTCATACGCGATGTTAATAAAAATAATAAGATTCTCCACTCCGGCCGCGGCCTAAGACGGGTACAGAATCCATAAAACATTCACATTTTTGAGCTACCGTGCCCCTTACTTCACGCTTGACGCTTTACCAGCGTAAAAGCTAGCAATGCTAAATAGTAATTATTGTACATAAGTAATACAAATCCGTATTTTTGGTAGCACTGGTAGCAAGCTCCAATTTCCGATGCGCTGCAACTCCGTTGTCAGTATATTCTAATACACACGTACACGCTTATGCTATACAACTAAATCGAGATCCATCGAAGAAGTGCGAGCCAAAGAGAAACGCATTGATTGGAAAACAATGAATCCCTCCATTTCCGTGTGCTAGATAAAGAAAGACGATAAAACGTTATAAAGCTCTATGCAGATGAGAATCGAATTCGATTTCATTGCTGTTCCCCGGCAAGCGAGTAGTTCGTCAGATCCAAAAGCGAGCCAACGAAAGAGACGATCAGTTTCACATTACTCGATCTCCTGTCCCTGTCATGGATTCCAAGTCATAAAAGCAAGACAAATGACACCCGTGGATGGACCATCTCTTGCAACTCAGCACACTCAAAGGAGGGAAAGTGGAAGCCTGTGAAAATGCAATCGTATCCCTAAAACATAACTTAGGGCAGGAGGAGAAGCTTTCCAAAATTTTACCTGATACAGTTCATGGATGCCCCCTTAGTGAAAGAGAAAGATAGAAATAGGTAGATGGTAGAATGGAGAGATCTCACCAATATTGATATGCGTCTGTGTTCCGTATTAGCCGCACGGGCACGCTCGTACTCATAGTTGTGTATGTATTTGCTTAGCAAACACATTTTACAATCATCGTACGCCGGTTCCACCGATTCTGCTGCATCTTCAACAAACACAACACGAGCCTTTTTGCACACACATAAGCTTGCCCAAAATCGAATGCTTTTAGCTTTTCGGAATTCACAAATGACTTCGTTTTTTTCATCTTTTCCACATTCATTAACACAAAACAAAAATTTTGCGTCCGCCATTTCTTCAAGCCCATTTCACTATGATGGCATTGGACTTTTTTCTTTTAACTTCCGTTCACTGCACATCGTCTGAAAAGAGTCATTATCAGTCATTATTGTAATAATGTCTTGAATGACAATTTAATCACTCCTCCATGCAGCCGAACTAATGAACTCGCCGAGACATATATAAAAATGCAGATATACCGGGAGAAAACTTATGCACCTCCACTCGCGGCAAAACCACGATCCGAACTGATGAGAACAAAAATTTACTAGTAATTTCCATATAACCTTAAAAAAACCAGAGCAGCATGAGTTCACATCAATATGAGCTCAACTTTTGGAAAACATCACCAGGACCTGATTTGACATCGAATAAGCTTGGCGGAGAAAAATTGATATTTTGAACAACTCTAATGTACACACACATTTTCTCTGCTTTGAAAGTTGATACTCATTTCTATATCGTTGAGGGGAAACAGATTCAATTATTCTAATTATTTTAAGGTTTAGAAGAGTAATAATAGTCATAAGTATAACAATTTCAATATTCTGTAATAATTTTGATCGATCATGACTCCCGATTCTATCAGTTTCCCGTTTTGAAATTTGAGATAGGGCTGACAAAATCGGGAAAGCACTGTAGTAAGGCCTCTGAAGCTTTCCTTAAAGTCTTCAGATTTCTACGTGAAACTTTATTGATATTAATCCACAAATTATCCAGAATTCACAAATTATCATAAATTGAACGAGTCAAAACCGGAGCGCACCATATATGGAACACTTCTGTAATACAAAATATAATCTTTCCGTTAGCCTGAAGGCTTTCTTATTAAAAACCCAATAATAAGAACAAGCATATGCTCCAATTCAATGTGCATTAACCAGAAACACAACTTTAGACTGTTACTCGATAGCGAAATCACTTCTTTCCCAAAAGTTTCGCAACGAAAATGACTCTATAATACCCCGTTACAAAATTTTCCGTTAGCATTCCAAAGTCTAATTACTTCAATCACACCCATCTACTGGCGGCAAATAATGACTTTAAATATTTGGACCGCGTCGAATCCGTGCCAGGCAGGGCAATCACGGACCCCCATCCAGCGAGTGAATAAAACCTTAATTCAAATCAAATA